TACAGAGACATTCTTTGGCAAAGAAATGACACAAGCATAAAGGGAAAGGCTGCTGATTTCTTTGGCAGATTTTACTGGCCAGCAGGAAAGCAGGCTCTCCAGACAGTGCCCCAGTTAAACACTTCCTCTGTCTTCACCTAAGCTGGCCTTTATTTTAATCCCTAAATATAGTTATATTTCATACTTTGTTTTAAAAAATTTTCTCTGCATATTTTAATCTTTTATACATCTTTACCTTCAGTTTTTTTTTCTGTCGGGGGCGGGGGCGTTAATTAAGCAATGGGATCATCTGTATATAGGCATTGCTTATTTGGCACTCTTTGAACAAGTTGATCTAATCCAGTCTTGATTGTTGGACTAGATAGGTGAACTCCTTAAGGAGTAGGAAGCTCAGATGTTAAAAGATAAGGGTGTCCTATGTCCTTTCCCCATATTCCTTCATCCCTCCATTCCTTTGCCAAGTTGTCCTCTCAGGGCTGTTACTCCAGATAGAAAATCACTGTGAATCCCACTTGTATCCGGGAATTAAAGACAGCTGAGAAGCAGCTTTCGAATGGCACAGCCCCCACTTCAAGATGCTTGGGAGGAGAATGGTTATGTCTGGCTAGGAATTTCATATCCACAGATAATCATGTTTGCTGCTGGTGCTACCCAGGCTTCCAGTTCTCAATACTTTGGGTACTTCAGCTAAAACGTAATAGCTCATGGTCTTTGTAATGCATTCACATTCCTTGAATTCACCACCTCCCTCTTTCTGACTGCTCTGTGTTGTTGTTCCTGTCCTCTCTGGCAGAGACAAGGTTATGGTTTTGGAGGATGTAGGCGCAGTGAGTCTTTTTTGCCAATCCCATTGCTCCTGAGCTATCGAAAAGACTCTCCATTTATACCACCAGGTTTTTAGCATTTCAAGAGGCAGCTGATATACTGGTATGTAGGGATTGCTTGTATATACCCCATTTCTTTCCAGCCTGCCCAACAAGTTTCACCAGGCTGTCTGTCACTGTCTCTGAAACCCTTTTCTCCCCCAATCCTTTTATTTTCAGTGTTACCGTGTAGTGGTTATTTCCCATTGCTTTTCAGTGGAGAAGACTATATTAACCAGCCCCACATTGGTTTTTAACCCAGCATTGTACTCAGTAGGGTTGGCGAAGAGTTGCTACCAGGCTGCAGCCACTGGCAGTGGAAGGAGAAACAATTGTTGTAGAGGACCTCCTGCACTTTTAGCTGGTTGGAGAGTGCCACTCCCATTCTGAGCAACATCTGGCTTTCCCTGCAGAGTGTACTGTACTTGAAGCAAAGCAGTCACACCACACTAATGGCCATAGATGGAATTATTTGCCAAAGAAATTTCTAGCCTTTCCCTTTCCCCTAACTGTATCAGGAAAGATTTCTTATCTCTAGCTTGGTTTCCACATGATGAGGAAGGGTACTGGGACAAGAAATCTGTCATGTAGTTATATAGGCAAGAAATCATATTAATCCAGTTTTGTTTGAGAGTTGCTTGTCCATATGATTTTTAAAAAGTCAAGTTTAGTTTCACAAGAATTTTTTTTTTCTGAAATTACTTTTGGGGTAATATTTAAAATGAGAGACATTTTGTAACCCTGTAAAATACATAGGGATTATAACATTCCAGTGTACACAAAGAAGGCAAATTCTTTAATCAAATAAAGAGTATTATAAAATGAAATGTTTATTAGACTCTTGACTCTCTCACACCTTGGTGTCTGCTTGCTGGTTCAGGATAATGTAATGGGATCTAAGATTAAAAGTTAATGAGACTTTTAAGAATGTAATCTCTGAGAGTATTCTTTACCTTTTCTTCATGCTGTAGGTGTTATGCCTCCTTGTGTATTTTTCTACGTTTGAGCTTCTGACACCATAGATTTAGAATTTAATGACACTTAAGGAATTTTGGTGGATTGGAGTCTTAATTTTGTCGGGCAGTTACGCGATCAGAAAAATGATGCTTCATCTTTAAAGACTAACAGTGGTAGGGGATATTTTGGAGCCTTTTCCTCGCTAGACAGTGTTAGGAAGTTAGTGATACAGGGATGAATGAGGAATGCCTTGGGAATTGTGATAATTCTGTCAGAAAAGGCCCTTTTCTTTCCTTTTTATGCCTCTTTTTTAATTTGAAAAACTTTGTTGAATGCCACAAATTGTTTGGAAGGTAAATTACTCTCCTTAATGAATAATAAGGTTAATGAATAATAAGTATCTGGAATGAGAAAGTTAAAGTTTTTTTTTTTTTTTATGGTGAAAGCAAAGATTTTGTATTTTATTCCCTTAAGAGGTAGAAAGTATCTGGTCTAATGTTGCTAAAGTGTGTCTCAGCTCTCAGACTGTACCTTAACCCAACCAAAGGAAGCACACCAAAACCACTGTGCCACACCCCCACCACCTCATCAACTGGACTTTTTCTTGATCTCTTGTGAGGGAGACTAGCAAAATAAATAGATCTGACTGAGCATTCTGCTTAATGTAGGAGGCTTGCAGATTAATTAATTCCACGTAGAGGAGGAAGGGAACAGATCTCTGTCAACAGGCATTCCTTTTTAAAAAGATCTGTCATTCATCTACTCAAAATAGTTTCAAACCCCAAATCTACCAACCCATTGCATCTCTGACAGAAGAAACTGCCGTCTGCAATTTTTACATTGAGTAGGTAGGATCTGAGAGATTTCCAGGAATGATACAGCATAGCCTTTTATGAATGAATGTCCATATCTGGCAGGGCTCATTGGAGGAAAATAGAAAGTCTCTGTTCTCAAGAAGATTAAAAGTCTAGCTAGAAGCAATGACTGTACCTGCTTATGAGGCCTTTTTTTCTAAGCTAGACAAGTAATAACTACAACCAGTGATACTCAACATGGGTCTCAGTGGGAGTGGGGAATGGGGCTTCTGCCCTGTAGACTTTGGAAGAATCTCTCAAAAGGAAGCAAAAAACTTGAAGAGTTGACTCCCCTTTACTATGCACATCTTCCATTCTAAGCATTTCTGCCCCACATTCCCTCTTCTTGCCCCCCTTCATAAGTAATAAATGCAGTTCTAGAACGTCTTTGAAATTCCTAGAAGATCCAGAAGCAGGTCGGTTGCTGTGCATTGCTGTTACCCAAGGGCAGACAGCATCTCTACAGGTGCAGCCTCACATCTTTCCCTGGGGAGTTAGTGATTGATGCAGAGGCAGGCTTTTAGGAAAATTAGACCACCTTTCCAAATCAGCTGTTTTCCCCTCTTCCACAAGCACAAGCCAAGCTACCAGACAGTTTTTAGAAACTTGAGCCACCCTTTTCTCCCAAAATAGGAAAAGTTTTTTGCCCTGTTGTTCATAGGACAGGGGCTAACTGGTTACTTAGGGCTTAGTCGAATTCTGGAAAGCTCCCACAGACGTAATATATGTGATCAGGTTGATTACCAAACCAGGACAGGGGCTGTTTAAAAAAGAGGCATTACAAATTCAAGGCAATGAGACAAATGGAAATAGGTTGTTTCCCATCCTTTAGCCCAAATACCTATTCAGCTCGTAGGACGGTCCTGAGCCATGAGTGTAGACAAGACCAGTCTTCTGTCCTACCCAAATTACCTGCTTAGTTTGGACACAACTTTGGATAGAGGTGTAGATTGTACAATTTCTAAGATAAACAGGGAGGAGAAGTGCTCCTTCGCAGCTGCTAAAGCAAGGGTTGAACTTTGTCCCAAGTTGGGTGCAACGAGGAGTTACTTGGTGGTGTTGCTGCCACCATACCTGCACTAATGGTGCTTGAATGCAGGATCCAAAGAGGCCAGAAAAGGATAGCTTTCTGCAAGAGCGTGTATCTACAGGGATATCTTGCTGTAAGAGCAATGGTCACCTCTGTCTGCAGCTGGAGCAAGTACAATTTGAGAGGAGACACAGAAGTGGGAAATGTGCCAAGCAAAGGCAGGAGGGTTGTGGAAATCCACGCCTGACATTCATAGCCAAGTGCAGAAGGCCTTAAAAAAAAAACCCACTCTTCTTCCACGCTCAGCCCTTGCCCTCTCCCCCTCCTTCCACTTCGGAAAGTCTGAAGCATGCCTGGAAAGCTGTTTTCTACTTTCTTCCCCTCTCTTCCTCCCCCTTTCCTGAGCTCCCAGCTGCTCAACCTCTTGGCGTAACTATGAGAGATCACTGAGTGTTTTGATGGGCTCCAGATGTGGAGCTGGGGGGGAGGGGGGAGTGTGGGGGCGGTAGGTCTTTGGTCCCCTGAGTGCTCTAACTGTGGGAACATAGAGCCCGACACAGCAGGAAAGAGGACCCATTGCATAGAGCCTTTGTCATGGGGTCAGCTGGTCCCTGGGTTGGGAGGACAGTGAGAGAAACTGGGTGCTGTTTCAACCCTCTGCCTCAGCATCAGATGCCTCCATGGCAGGATTATTATTTCCTGAAATTCCTCCTGACCAAGAAAGTAAAGAAGATCTCAAGGTTGTGGAACAGATTTATGTGAAAAGTCTCTGTGAGGTACCTCAATCTGAGCCCTTCCCCTCAAATGTTGGGTCTTGGAACATAGGATACAAGAGGTTTTGGGTTTTTTTCCCTTTTTTTATTAGAATAGCCTGTAAATTACTGTTGTAATATGCCTCATGAAGGGTGGCCAGAGTTAAAATATTTTCATGAGCCTCAAATAGTATGAAGAGAGGAAGACTAAAAGTCTGCTTTTCCCTAAACCCTGGCGTTTCCTGGCACCTACCATGTATGCTGGAGCCTGATTTTTCCACCTCTGTTAGCTAAAGCATGTAGCAGCAAACAGTGCCCTCTCCCCTCCCCTCCCCCTTGTTGCCCACTGCCTGGCTCTGGTGAGCTGTCTGTCAGCTCCAGTCACCAGTCATGGGGGGCCCCCCTGCTGTATTTTGGTCTTGTCAATGAGTGACCAGAGATTCCAGCAGTTCAGCCTCCTGCTATTCCTGGGTTAGGGAGTGAAGGCATAAACTAAAGCCACTGAATCAGAACAGGATTTGTCCAAAGAGGACAGATTATTTTCTGCATTCCGCCACAGCTGGAATTTCCGCCAGCCTTAGGGTCTTTCTGCTCCTTCCTTCAGTGAGGAAGAGTCTCAGGGGTCCTTCTAGCACAGATTAAAGAAGTTCAGTCTACCTGAGTTCAGCTCCCCAGGGACTCTGCAGCCAGTCTCCTAGGGCAAGGGCTGGCTTTGCGAGGTAAAGATGAGCTGTCAGTGTTGGATTTCAGGGTAGAGGTTGGGATGGAGAATTACTTCCACCAACCAGGCTGTTCTAGGCTGCTCTTGGGTTTTTAGTTCCCGCTTTTTTTTTCCTTATTAACCTCCACTGCTACAGAGACCCAAACTACTATAGAATGGCGTACTCAATTGTATGTCTATAGCTAGCCTCCCACCTCCCAGTCTGTAATCCTGCTGATCTGTGGTGGGGGTAGAGCTACAGGGGATAAAATGATAATCCCATGCAGTTTTCCTCAGCTTTACAGTTTGTGTGGTGCTTTGACATGACTTCTTATACCTATGCCTAGGAAAATCTGTGAAGCCTGATGTGCAGGGTTATCAATCCCATTTACAGCTCTTTATAGTGGAGCTTGGAATAGGGTGAGAAGGCATGACAGGGCAAAGACCTTGGGTCCCTCAGTAGGTGTTCTGGGGAAGATGTTTCAGAATAGCATTTTGTAGAGGCTGGGACTAGGGGATTCACTGGGAGGTGATGGAAGATTCGGGCATCTAAGTTTAAAGAGAGAGAGACTGTCAAAAACACCAGGGAAGAGCCTCAAGGCTTGAGGGTGGAGAGTGGTCTAGGAGAGTCCGAAGGAAAGGCAGAGGAGGCTGGGGCGGGGCGGGGGGGGGGGGGGGGGTGGGTGGAGATTGGAGAGCCCAGCTGCAGAGATGAACAAAGCGGGCGCTGTGCTGGCGGGGGGAGGTGCTGCTGTGGGAAAGGGTGGGTGGGGGGGCCTTGAGCTCCAGCCCCACAAGGGCGTCTTCTCTAGCTGGTCAGGCAGACAGGACGGGACGGGGGCGGGGACTGAGGAGGGGGGCGGGCAGGACGGGCTAACTCGCCTCCTCCTCAACCGGCTCCCAGGGAAAAACAGTGTCCTCCTGAGCCTGAGACCGCGGCGGCCGAGGCGGGCGAAGGGACCGGACACCCCCTCCCCTCCGCCCCACAACCCCAGGTAAGAACGCCCCTTCACACTACGGCCTCCGGTCCCGGTCCAGTTCACTGCTCGGCTGGGACTGGGGAAGAGGGAGTCGCAGGGGCCTGGCGGGAGCCCCTGGTCAGCTCTGGACTAGGAAGCCAGAAAGAAACCATGGGGGAGGAGAGGGAACCCTAGGTGAGTGCGTGGGGCCGAACGGGCTTTGTGCGGAGTTGACTCTGCCGCTTTCCTGCGAGCTGCTTGCCTTTGCCCTCCCCGGCCGCTGCCCGCGCCGCCGCCAGAGGGGGCCCTCGTGCTCTCCCCCGGAGGGACGCTGAGCCTTGCCACATGAAGACGCTCGTAGGCACCCTCGCGCCCCTCCCCGACCCTGACGGCCGGGCGGGCACTCGCGGGTCTCTGCTGGCATGTGTGTGCGCGCGTCCTCGTCCTCCTGCCCCTACACTCCGCCCTCTCCTGCCCACGGCAGGACTGAGAGTACCGAATGGGGAGGGGCGATCCCCTGGGGAGTCTCTCCCCTCTCCCCTTCTGTCTCTTGGGGTGTCCAGGAGATGGGAGACCCTCCTGCAAGGTCCCACGTCTTAAGGGGCCCGGGAGGCCGGATGTGGTATCCTTGGGGGAGGGAGCCCCAGGCTCTAGTCACGCCCGCGCAGTCCGGATTCGAATCCCTTGCGGAGTTCCCCGGAGCCGGCTTGGGCCAAGTCTGCGGGACTCCCCCGGGATTGGGAAGTGCGGGCTGACCGGCGGGGACGGCTGGCGCGGGGTTGCCGGAGGTGCCCGCAGACGCTTCCACTGAGGCAGGCGCTTCGTCCGACCGCCACACGGCCAGGCGGGAGACCCGGGGCGGGGCTGCATTCTGGGCCCGTTAGCTCAGCGGTCCCAGACTCCCCGAGGGTGACTCATAGGGCTCACCCCCCACACCCACAAACACAACATCAGGCATCCCACACAGCAGACACGCACAGTACCCCACCCTACATCACCCATGCACCCTGCCCACAGCGGAGCCCACGCATACATCCGTGTATCCCACACCCCGTTACACATGTAAAACCCTTACACACACCTATACATCAACACACTTCACACACGCTTCACACTGCACGCATCCTCACATGCAGCCCCATTCACGCATGCAGCCTCCCACGCTCACGCGCAGTTGCCTCCCGCTCACACACGTACCCGTACCCCCACTCACACACATACACTCCCACTCACATACACAGCCCCCACTCACGCGCACCCCCTCCGCTCACACACGCAGCTCCGCTCCCACTCACACGCACAGACCTCACATACTCACCCCCACTCACACGCGCAGCCCCCCTTCTGTGGCTCCGCTCCTTTCCTAGGCTGGCCTCGTAAACAAGCGGCTCCTTCTCCCTGCCCCGCCGAAGAAAGGCCATTTGTCCGGCAGTCGGGGCGGGTGGGGCGGCCGCGGTAGGCGGCCCAACACTGAGGCCTTGTCTCCCTTGGCGGCCCTGGGCAGGCGCAGGCCGAAGGGGAGTAAGGGGCAGCTCCCTTGCGGAAATCCCACTTCACTCGGCCCAGCCGACCTCAGCCAGGTGCTCCTTTCCGGCACACCCCCTCCCCCAAATAAAAAACACAACACAAAAACTACACTCACGTCCCTCTTCCCGGCTCTCTATCCTCTGTCTCCCCCACCTCTTTCCTCTCTGCCCCCTGCAGTCTCACCCCCATTTATGGGTCCCTAGGTCTGCCATTAGTCTCCTTCTTCTTCCTTCAACTCTCCAATCTCCCCGCCCCTCAGTTTCCCCCTCTACTGCCCTAAATACCCCCTACTCCTTCCTTAGTCTCCCTCTGTCTGTCATCCCCTATACCGGAGGACCTCTCTGCCCTCGGTCTCGCCCCGCAGCCTCTTTTTCTGTCCCCCGACGTCTCTGCCTCTCTGTCACTCTGTCTTCCCCCACCTCTGAGTCCCCTGGACTCTCTCTGTCCTCAGTTTCTCCATCCCCTTCTTTTTCCTCCTTCTCCTCATCTCTCTCTTCCTCAGTCTCTCCCCCCATTCTCTGCCCTCGGGCTTCCCTTCCACAACTCTGATGTTCCCTCCTTATCCTCAGTCTCTTTCACTTTTCGCTCCAAATCTATCTCCCCCCACCTTCCCCGCCCCATCCCTCCGCAGACACCCTTTTCTCTCTGCTCCATTTTCCTCTTTCTTAAACTCTCTCCGCCCCTAGGCCCTCGCCGTCCCCCCCCTCCCCCACCTCCTGCCCCGCTCCGGCGTCCCGCCCGCTGGGCTCCCAGCCTCAGTTTCCTTCCCTTCCCGACTCCTTCCTCTGCCGGCGGCCCCTCCTCGGGAGCGGATGTGCGTGGGGAAGGCAAAGGTAGCGGCTGGCCGAGGGATCCCAGCAAAGCCCCGCAGACCTCCGGCCACAGCCATGCAACGCCCGGGTCGAGGCCGAAGCTGGTCCCCCAGGACACAAGTGAGGGCCGGGGCGACCCCTCAGGGGTTGTGGGGGAGCACCAAGTGGCCGGGCCTTTCGCTCTGAGGCTAGCTTTGGGTCTTTCATCTAGGGCCCGATTTGGAATCCTGGACCTTCTTCAGTGCCTGTTGCTTCCAGAACTTTTCGGCCCTTCCACTCATTCGGGTGCCGAGATCCCCGAGGGGTGAGCCTGGGCGCCCCGTCGGCAGAGAGGGCTGGGGGGGCGGCATGGGAGCTGCAGGGCCCATCCCGCGTGACCCGCGTGCCAGCGCGTTCTAGCTGCGCGAGGAGCCAAGCCGGAGGGGCTAGGCAGGAGTCGGTCACCTGCCGGAGCCCCAGCCTCGCCTCACACCGGGGCCCTGCCTGTCAAATCCAGACACCGAGGCCTGTGCCATCCAGCGCCCGAGGAGGCGCTTGGGTATCGGTACCCAGGAGGCGAGAGAGGTCCCAGGGCCGCAAGTCGGGGTTGACCGCGGCGCTTCTTCCCTCTAGAACCAGACTCGCACCGCAGGGGCCTTTTTTGGCAGCGGGGGCGGGGCGGGGTTTCCCAGATGGACCCTGGAGGCAGTGGCGGGGCGGGGGGGG